TTTGTTACGCACACATTGTACATTGTTATATACAATGGTGACAGACTGGGAGTCAGTGATATATAACTGTTACTTATCATATTTTTATATTTTTGGAATATTAAGTTTTCTGTAATACAGCCTGTGCTGCATCACAGCCTTCAGTCAAATCATTCCTGTCACCACGGTTCTCAGCCAAATTCTTTCATAATGGCATGGTCATGTCACCCACCTCAGCCAATTTTATCCCCTGACATCACCTTGGTCCATGGGATTATGTGCCAAAAATTATTTATCAAATAATCCATGCAGTGGAAAAAGTTTTTTTTCCACATGCAGAGATTCTTATTTTCATCCTTCCTATGCATTTTAGCAAAATCATGACTTTTCTGTTCCTAATGTCTGATACAATAACTAGTATAATAACTACCCTCCAAATAATTCAACACAGGATGAGGAAAAACACAAACTCTTTTTATTTTTATTTATTACAATATATCCATATGTTTGCATAGATTTAGATCGGCACTATAATACAGTACATAATCAAATGAATAAAATACAAAATCAATATCAACAGCATGGTCTTGCATAACCGTTAACATTATTGCTCCTCTCTCATGGACTTCATGCACAAACACTTTAAAATCTAAACAAATGAAAGCCTTAATGGGATACACTTACGAGAATCTGATGTTCTATCAGAATCCTGTAATGAAGCAGCATTATAATGCATTTAGCAAATATGAAAATCCAGCTTGGGGTGCAAAGAAATACAAAAAAGGAAAAAAAGAAAGAAAAGTTTTCTGCATATACACTCATTCAAAACAATTGAGCAGCAAAGGTTATTTTCTTGAACTGTTTATCTAAACTATTTTATTTCTTACCTCTCAAAACAAGTCTACAAAGTTTAACAATGGCATTTATTATGGGATTTCTCAGTCATTTTTGTTATGAAATATACAACTGGATATACTGATACTTATTAAATTTTGAATTCATTATACTTTCTGGAATTAAACATACAACATCGGAAGATCACTATGCAGTACCTGACTTGGTGCCAAAGAAAACTGTCACTACATAACAGTTCTACAAATTCATATCAAATGTATCATATTGACAAAAATAATATTAGAATAATGAAAATAAAAAAATAAATGACTATCATCATCAACAAATACAAGTTTGTTTGTCATTATTTAGAAATGACAACTGCACCTAACACAGTCTATCAGTAACACCTAATTCTAATATTCAACAAAAAAAGCTGGGAGTTACTGTCTCATATCACAATTTATACAAAGAGTAATGTCCATACATACATATATATATAATTATATATATATATAATATATAATATATATATATATATACACATACATATATATATGGGGTTTCCTCAGTAAACAAAACTGCTGTGGAGGGGGTAACAACAAGTATCTCTACTGCGTGCAAAGCCACAGAAAAATCCTAACAGCAATTGAACAACCTTTTCTGTATTTGTAGCCCTGGTCTTTTTTTCTGTCTAAGGTGTAATGAGGTACTGTAACAATAAAGCCTATGACCCTGGTGTAACTTAGCAACAGGATAATGATGTCTCAAGTTTAAAAACACGTGTTCCAATGCAAGGCAAAATAGAGAGAATGCTCTCAAAAGGCAATGGATTAATTATACATAAAGAAGAAAAGAAACAAGATTATCTTTTATCTCAGTAAAGATACTCATGTTTGAATAAAGTGGCTCTTGACTTCCATGTGTTAATGACCTTTTCCTAATCATCATACAAAAAAAAGGAAAGAAAGAAATAAAGAAAATACTAAAGCTATGTTCAGCAAACCAAAAAGGTAATAAAATGGAATGTTATCCAACATATTTCTTATAAAATGAACTATAGTTCACCTGCACACACACACACACACACACACACACACACACACACACACACACACACACACACACACACAAACTATCACATGCGCACATGCATAAACACACACAGAAAGGTAGAAGAAATGAGAATGAGATAAAGCTAAACAGACAGCAAACCTGATGAAAAAATAATATTAATGAAAATAGAATGTCATAAAATAATAATATAAACTAAATACAGGAAATAAGTAAATTATTTATAATACTTGAATAAACCATAAAGGAATGGGATGTCATAAGGGAGATAAAATAGTTTTAAATGACAGAACAGAAAGAAAAGAAAAAAAAAAAAAAAAAAAAAAAAAAAAAAAAAAAAAAAAAAATGAAAATGAAAGAAATTGGACAAAAGATATAAAAACAGAAACAAAAATATAAAACAAATATGTGAAAATGACAATAATTGATCGAATACATGTATCAGATTACTAAACATATTACTGTTATTAATCTATTAACAGCAAAGTCAACACCAATTGTTAGGGTATATTTTAAAGATTTTGAAAAGTAAACAAAGAATTTTCAATCATTACTACAATGAGATTTATCTTGCTTTATCAGATGCATTTCCTAATGAAGTCAATATGTACAAAGAGCAAAAACCTCAATATTTATCTTTGGTACAAGGAATTCCCTATAGCACAGCACAGATCAAGATTCAATTTTCACTATCCACATCAATATCAACCCCAATGTCGCTCCCCTTGCCCTTGGCACCTTAGACTTCATGTCTCTGAGTTCTGCTGTATTCTCAAAAACATCATTTACTATCAGAAATGTCAGAAATCCAAACCCTTTACAGTAAAGACATGAAAGAAGTCTGCTTGTGTTGTATCATTTTCCAATGGATGTTATCCAAAACAAAATTTTAGTCAAAATACATGACAATATGGAAAAAAAGGAAAGAAAGTATAGATTCATTTTCTTGTACTTTGAACAAAATATGAAAACATTTCTACAATCCCGATGCTATCTTTACCATGAGCTATTCAAAAATTTATCAACATGTAACACAAGCTGGACACTACCCTCATGAAAACTACCTTTTTGGTAGATTTTAGATTATAATATAAACAATAAAGTTGTATCCAGATCATCTGATACTGCTGACACTCAACAAATACACTATGAAGTGGCTTCAGAGTACTCTGCATATCTACATCTAAAATATCTTTAAAATTGATATTAAAAATAAAAAAGTTCAATAAATTACCTAACTATATATTTTGCTCCAGTTGTTATCTTGATGTGTGTCTGTTATTATTGCTCTGGTTACTCTGAAACTAACTGAAAGGGGTATTACAAGTGAAGAAAATCAAGGACCATATTCAGTACTAAATACAGATGAGAAATACAGCACATACTTGGCAGACCATGAACACATCCATTTCAGTTTTACCTTTAATGAAAATATGGAAGATATGGAAGTACTTGTGCCTTTTCTGATTACAACTAAGGAAAGCCAAAACACATGACCGGAGTCATCTGGATATTCATACTAACAGTCAACCCAAACAGCTGCAGCTTCAACTATTGGGTTGTAATTAGTACATTAAGCAGAAGAATAAGTCATAAAATGTGCATATATATAAGAAATTAAGAATATATCCTTACATAAAAAATCTGAGGATTGTGTCAGCAGTTTCACCTGTATAATAACAATGGAAATTTGTATGGTTGTCTTAATATATTATCTATCACATTAGTTATCATGTTATGCAAAACTCACTAGTTTTTCCCCCTTGGTATATATTCCAATGAAAACAAATTAAACTTAAAACTTAAAACTGAGTTTCATAAATCACTTTTGCTTTATACATATAAACATATAAACACACAGTCACACACCAGTCAGAGCAAAATTGTGTATTTCAAACATAAAAAAAGAAACAAAGAAGAAAAGAAAGAAGCCAAAATCACTTCAAAAACATAAAACTGAAAAAATATTGACCTTCCTAACAGGGACTCTTTAAACATAAGGGAATGAAGGATAATATATACATACCTCATCAATGGTAAATCTAAATCACTTAATGGAGTCACTGCCTAAGCATCAGCAATCAAGAGATCAGAGAACATTGGGGATAATGCAGATTAGTTTTTGTGCCATTAAAATGCTAGCAATCTAGGTACAACTCTGACCATTAATATATTCTTGACAGGTCTGGAGAGTTTTGAAGACGGTGAAAATTTAATAATATATGGAAGAATGAATCTGGGGAGAGGAGGAGGAGGAGGAGAAGCAGCAGAAGAAAAAGGTGGAGGAGGAGGAGCGGCAGCAGAAGAAAAAGGTGGAGGAGGGGGAGAGGCAGCAGAAGAAAAAGGTGGAGGAGGAGGAGAGGCAGCAGAAGAAAAAGGAGGAGGAGGAGGAGAGGCAGCAGAAGAAAAAGGAGGAGGAGGAAAAGAAAAGAAGTGAACAGAAGAGATAAAAGGAAAAATAGAGAGAAGACGAAGAAGAAGAAGAAGGAGAAAAAAAAGAAAAAGAAGAAGAAGGAAAAAAAAAAAAAAAAAAGGCAGAAAGAAGGAATGGCATAAAAACTAAAATCTAGACTCTCTTGAGAACAGGATAAAGGACTTAGGTTTCTTAGGAGGTTCTTTCAGAATCCTTTTTTATTAAAAAGGTGATACCTGAATGGTAGAACAATTCAAGTAGCCACACTTGTGACAAAATAATCAAACAAAAAATTCAAAACAAACTTAGGAGAACTCAAAATAAGATGACCACAACACATCTACCTAGTCTTTCCTTTGGTTTTACTTCCAGATCCGGCATGGATGAGCTAATCATATTCATAACATTGTAACATTCTAACACACTAATCATTATCTATTTGTAAAGACTGTGGATGGCCACCTGGGCTTGTTTAAGTGTATTGTCAGTCAAAATCTAATAATGACCTAGTCATTTTAGGTACAAGCTGATACAAAATCATGATCAGGTCATGGTAAATACAAGCCTATACTTGTTAGCTAAGCCACATTAAACATCAATATTTCTCAACACCTATGCATTTAGTATTCTTTGTCTACAGTAGTAAAGAAGAAAGATGAAGAAAAAAGAAAGACAAAGAGGGGGGAGGAGAAGGAAGACCTATTATCAAAACTTTAATGATTTTCAGGAACCAACCACTAACTCTACCATGAATGGATTCACAGAGATTTCTGAATGTAGTAAAAGCCAGGATTCAACTCAAAGACTAGATATTTTTAATCAAAGTCTCAGATCACTTGGCCACCATAGTCATTCAAGTCAAATGAAATGTTATTAAGCAATTTAGAAGTGCCTCCACAAGGATTTGTACTTGACAGTCACAATCACAATAAGTACATATCCAAGTAGGCATTACATTATCATTAGAAATCACAAAAATGCTATGATGTGACCTTCTCATACAAGTACAAAATAATGCTTAGCAATAATAATCATAATATGTGTATGCCAATACTAGGAAATGACCTGGTCATACTAAGTATATATCACAATACAAGGCTGGTTAAACAGAGCATGAGCCAACACTTTGTTTAAACACCTTTCATTCTTGTTACAAAGCCTAGGTAAACAAGACATTTATTCTTTTGCACATACCAAATAATAGCTCACTATTTAAATATACTAATTCTCACTGCCAAGAAGTAATCTAGTCACTTTTTCCTGTACAAATGTTCTTATAACTTAACAGATCATTTGCTCTTTCTTCCACTCACATCATATGACAAAGCATTTACAGTAGAAGTAAACACACTGCTCCAAGTCCTTAACAGGCATGTGAATGTTTTCAATCAAAAAAGAAAAATGCAAACAAAATTATTTCCTTTCCTAACTTCAGTACATATCACAAAAGTGAAATAAATTGCTATGAACATAATTGCATTACATCAAGTGTACAATGAAGTGTGTGTGTACAAATGTGTTCATGCTTATGTTTAAAAATTTCTTTGTTTGTCTTTATTTGTGCATTTATACCTTTGGGAGAGCATGTACATACATGCACATTTGTACAAGTTTGTTTAATTACTGTGAAACATAATGAGAGCAAATGTTCTTGACAAAATGAAGGAAAGATACAAACTGCAATACAATGTACCTGAAGAACAGTGAAGGCTAGACAGGATTAGGAAACTCATGACAAGCATAAAATGAAGTTGACCAAAGCAGCAATGGACCAAGAACTATAAGGTTCCTCTCTGAAAACAAGGAAAGCTGAAGCTGTAAATGATAACAGGTGCAGAAGAGATTCCTTTGATGACAGCTTGAAAGCTGCCATGGACCCACTTTTGCTAATTTTGCCTGTCATTTGAACAGCATTTCAATTTTTTTCTGCTGCTGTCACTTCCACTTATGCAAGTCTATGAGCTTATTGAACATGTATTGGCCAATATAATACCTGTCATTATTTATAATTCTACCAGCAATTTTTTTTATACTTTTATTTTTCTCAACAATCTGAACATTGAATGGTTGGCAGATTCTTTCACTCTCGCACATAAAAAACTCAGAAACGATAAACCTTTTGCAAAATGAAGACAGATGATGGGGGAAGTAATATATATATATATCTCTCTATATATAGCTATTTACACAACATACTCACACATACATAAGCATCATATACATACATAAAGTAAAGGAAACTTTAATTCTAAAATCATGCCATGGAGGCCTGTACTATTGACATATTAAAGTCATCTCTGTCTATTGAAAAGTTATCTGAAGTAAAAGAAAGAAAAAACTCATGTTGAAGTCTTAATGGATACACAGTATCCAGCACTGTAAACATGCTTGCTACTTCCAACAATATCTTCCTACACAGATATTTGTTCATTATGTGCCAGTTAAGGTTTGTATTGCAAGACACCCATGGTTTCCTAAAATATGTAAAGAATAAGGCATCAACTTGAGGCTAAGATGCTGGCAATGTATATTACTGATGATGTTTCAACTAAACTAATGGATTAACATCCATACTCTCTTCACCAGGCTGCAACCAACATTCCATAACCATTTAAAAGTTTATGGTATGAGATGGCACAGGTGCTGTCACTCGAGTGACTCCTGAGAATCATCTGTCAATGAAAAAGAGGAGATGGGCACACACAGGTGATGGCTAAGTGGTGGTGTTGCATTGGTCACTTAGGAAAACATAGTTCCCTCTAAAGGTTGATGTCAATAAGTTTTATGTTAGTAATAAATGAGTAAACCCAATGTGAGGAGACTTGCAGGAATAAGCTGATCACATTACCAAGACAAGTGTTTGGAATCAGTGATCTTGCTGATACTGATGGCACAAACGGTGCAGATGGCAGTGAGGATCCAGTTGATCAGCTGCATGAGGGGGTCAGGACGCAGGGGTGGGGGTCTCGGTGGAGAATGTGACATAGTACAGGAAGCAAACATTACACACTCTAACTGCTTTCCAGATTCCATAGTGTGGAAGAGGAACTGCATGCTGGCTGCAGTGTGCACAGAACACCTGTAAAGGGATAATCCATGACTTATATAGAGCTGCCTAGAGCATGTTTGTGTCATCTGCAGTATATACAAAATACCAATATCATGTAAAGAAAACTGTAGTCCTATTCCACACATACGCA